GTATGTGTTGCATATAGTCGTGCGTATAGAATGCAACATCAACCTCAGCAGGCGTTCACCCATGTAACAGCTTCTGTACAATTGATGTGAAATGATAATGTGCCTCTTTTCTTGAATGTTTTTTGTTGTTGTTGTTGTTATTCGATGTTATTGCTGTTGGTGTTGTTATTTATAATAAATGAGAGTCAGTGGATCGTTTGTAGAGGTCTAGGTATTAAGATTATTGTTGTTGTTGTTTTTGTTTTTTTGGTTAGATATTATAACTTGTTTCATCCATGTGATTGTTTATCTTTTAGATCTTAAATTTTATTTTCTTAAACTTCTGATTGCTTGTTTTTTTGTGTTGTTGTTTTTTTGGTTTTTTCTGTTTTTCTTTTTTCTTTTTGTATGTTGATTTTGTTATTGAAAGACTTAATTAGAAAATTGATTTTTTATTTATTGTATGTCGAGGTATTGAGATAAAAATTACGTTTTGTTAAAGATCTAAGAATTATATGAATTTATTAGGTTGTTGTGGAGTGCCTTATGTTGTAGAGCTCTGTTTTAAAATAACATTTTCTTTAGAATTATTTAAATTTTATTTAAATTAATTGTTTATTTTAGTTTATGAGTTTGTTAAGAGTGTAGAAAGAAAAATGTTTTCAATTCTATGATGATTTGACATTAATTAATTTTAAATTAAATAGAATTATTCTCATGGATACCGGGGACAAAACCTTAAACAAGGTTAAGGAAACCGTGACAATTAAGGAATGACATGTCTTAGCGGCCTTTAAAAGAATTAACTGTTTGTTATTGAAATTATAAAGTTAAAAATTACTTATCCTAGAGTTAGGGAATCTTTTTATGTGGAAATTATTTTTTTCTTAATTTAGCCCTATTAGGCTTTTAAGACTTTTTAATGAAATAAAAATATGTACATTTGTATTATTCCCCTTCTTTAATTATTTTCAAATTTAACGCTTCATCATTATTTGTTGTTATTGATATGACAAACTATATGAAGCACATGGCCCTTATATTCCAGCATTACTCAGCCAAAGTGAGAGGAAAAAGAAAACAAAAACTTCAATTTCAAATTATCAAATGTATTTAGATTAGCCCCAGTGTTTGGTTTAAAATCAAAGTAAAAAAATCTAAAGAATAACAATACAATTGTTTATTCAACAATTTGGTGCTTCTTCAATAAGTCTACCACGGCTGGCAACTTGCAACATCATGTTTGTTTATTTAAAATCAATATAAAGAGATAGAGAGTGCGTGTAACCGCCTTTGTATTTCCTTTTCCAGCTTACGATCACCCTTCTATATTTCTATTAAGATCATTTTATTAAATGTTCACACATTTCTAAAGAAAGAAATATTTTTTTCTTTAAATTATGCCTTCTAATTATGGGGTTTTCTAAGGGTGGGTGTTTAGGTAACTGAAACTGATCGCACATTTGTTGGCTCGGGCAGTGTGTGTGTGGTTTAAGTGTTGTATTCCTGTTGTTCGTTAATTTGAATAATGAAAGTGTTAATAATTCTTTTAGGTTTTTGAAGAAACGTAGAACGATTGTTGATAGAAAATTAAGTTAGAAGTTGGGTCTGGTTTTCTTTTAAATTAAAGTTGAAAATGTTAAAAAATCATTAAAAAATCATTTGTTTAACATTGTTATTATATAGCTAATTCTTGTAAGTGTTAAATTTTATTTTTATATATTTAAATTTTTTTTTTAATATTTCCATTATATACAATTTTGTTAGTTTTGTGTTCATTAGGAGACTATTTCTATAGAATAGTTGTCTCCATCAGGAGACTATTTTCTATAGAACAGCCGTATAGAACCTCAATCAGGAAAGAAAACCATTAGCTAAGTTGTATCTATTAGGAGACTATATTCTTTAGATATGTCGTCTCCATTTGGACACTATTTTCTATAGAAAATTTGTCTTCATTAGGAAACTATTTTCTATAGAAAAGTCTTCTCCATTAGGAGACTATTTTCTGTAGAAAAGTTATCTACATTAGGAGACTATTTTTTATTGAAAAGTTATATCCATTTAGAGACTATTTTCTATCGAAAAGACTATTTTTAAAGAAAATGTGTCTCCATTATTTCTATTTTCTATAGAAAACATGTCTCCATTAGGAGACAATTTTCTATAGAAAACATGTCTCCATTAGGGGACAATTTTCTATGGAAAACATGTCTCCATTAGGAGACTATTTTCGATAGAAAACATGTCTCCATTGGGATACTATTTTCTATAGAAAACTTGCCTTCATTAGAAAACTATTTTCTATAGAAAACTTGTCTCCACTAGGAGATTATTTTCTATAGAAAACATGTCTCCATTAGGAGACTATTTTCTATAGAAAAGTTGTCTCCATTAGTAGATTATTTTCTATAGAAAAGTTGTCACCATTAGGAGACTATTTTCTATAGAAAAGTTGTCTGCATTAGGAGACTATTTTCTATAGAAAACTTGTCTCCACTAGGAGACTATTTTCTATAGAAAAGTTGTCTCCATTAGGAGACTATTTTCTATCGAAAATTTGTCTTCATTTAGATACTATTTTTAAATATGTGTCCATTAGGAGACTATTTTCAATAGAAAAGTTGTTTCCATTAGGAGACTGTTTTCTATAGAAAAGTTGTCTCAATTAGGAGACTATTTTCCATAGAAAAGTTGTATCAATTAGTACACTATTTTCTATCGAAAAGTTGTCTCCATTAGGAAACTATTTTCTATAGAAATGTTGTGTTCATTAGGAGACTATTTTCTATAGAAAAATTGGAGAGTATTTTCTATAGAAAAATTGTCTCCATTAGGAGACTATTTTCTATAGAAAATTTGTCTCCATTAGGATACTATTTTCTATAGAAAAGTTGTCTCCATTAGGAGACTATTTTCTACAGAAAACATGTCATTAGGAGACTATTTTCTACAGAAAACATGTCTCCATTAGGAGACTATTTTCTACAGAAAACATGTCTCCATTAGGAGACTGTTTTCTATAGAAAAGTTGTCTCCATTAGGAGACTATATTCTATAGAAAAGTTGTATTCATTAGTAGACTATTTTCTATAGAAAACTTATCTCCATTAGGAGTCTATTTTCTGTAGAAAACTTGTCTCCATTAGGAGAAAAGTTTTCTCTTTTAGGAGACTATTTTCTATAGAAAAGTTGTCTCCAATAGGATACTATTTTCTATAAAAAACTTGTCTTCATTAGGAGACTATTTTCTATAGAAAAGTTGTCTCCAATAGGACACTATTTTCTGTACAAAAGTTGGGAGTATTTCTTTACAAAATTTGTCTCCATTTGGAGACTGTTTTCTATATAAAAGATGTCTCCAAGCGGGAACTATTTTCTTTAGAAAGTTGTCTCTATTTGGAAACTATTTTCTATCGAAAAATCGTCTCTATTTCTATTGTCTATAGAAAAGTTGTCTTCATTTGGAAACTATTTTCTGTAGAAAAGTTGTCTCCATTCAGGGAATATATTCTGTAGGAAAATTGTCTTCCTTAGAAGACTGGATTTTATCCCATATATTCTATAGCTTGAGAAACTCTTGTTATTTCAACACAACCGGAAGGACTTTAAACATAATTTTTTTCTGGTAAATGTTATTCAATTTTCTGCTCATAAATTTCGGCTTCTTAAAATAGTATCCCTTAACTAATGCATTATTAATGAACTATTTAATTTATATATATTATTTACAATTGTGTTTTCTTAACATATGTCATCAAAAAAACTCTAGGGTTTATTTAATGCAAACCTAACCTTACTCAATTGAGTTTCAAGTGGCCGTTACAAGAGTAGTTTTCGTTTCTTTTAGCAGACGTCCTCTTTTGGAAAAAAAAAAGAAAACCCTCCAAAATGTATATACATATTCTTGAAACAGGGAAATACATATACATATATATAAAAAAGCGATAATTTAAACAAGTCAATAAAATTCACTATCTTATGATCTTATCAAAGATATTGTTTAAAAGAAGTAAAAAAGGATTGTCATCGTTGAGAGTGTAAGTAAAGGGATGGAGACAAAGTAGTTTTAGATAAAATCTACAAATGTTTTCTTTTACTACATATAAAATTATTTTAATAGTAAATTTTTGTTAAAGAAATTGTTTTTCAAAAAATAAATATAAATTCAAATTAGAAGTGAAATTAAGAAAAATAATAAATTCCCTACTAAATAAATAATGATGGTTAAATGATCAAAATGACATGTTTTCTGTTAGACTGTAAAGTCACATTGACCTGTTAGGAGTATTCATAGTTTATGAGATTAAGGGAAAAATAGTGGACGGTAAAATTTTCAAGCTTATGAATGCCCCTAATATATTCATTCTAGTTTTAATTACAACACACATCATAAATTTCAGTTTAACGCTGATTTTGTTCTTCAATTCTTGAGTTTTTTTTGTATTTTTAAATAAAGAATAATGATGTTAGTTTCAAAAAGACATTATTACAAACTTAATATGTTTCTTATGACTTTTTTTCGAGAAATCATTAAAGAAAAACACATCAGAAGTAGAAGTAAGTAGTAGAGAGACAGTTGTATAGAATCGTGTGATTGAACTTGGCTTCTAAAGTCATTGATTCCTATTTTCCTATGGCTGTTCATAGCTTTATATCTTTTTGTGGTCTACAAAATGTAATACTTCTTGATTTGCTTTTAAAAAAGTTTGATAGGCTTGACACATCAACGCGTGAGTTCTCATCATCGTCAACTGCCTACGTTTTATATTAAAAAATATTGTTAGTTAATTTCATATTTTTTATCAGTTTTTTATTTCTTTTTTTTTTTGTTTTGTTTCTTAAACTTGTCTTGTAAATTTAACAACTTTATTTTTATTGCTTCATAAATCTGCTCTTTGGAAAAAGTGATTTTTCTATATCATTTACATGACATATTTTAATAATTTGTTTATTAAAATGCTATTAATTTGCATCTAGATCTCATGCTGGTGGTGGCTGTAACTTTTGGAATTTCTAACAACATTGAGAGAAATTATTAAAAGTGATAAATTATTATGGAAATTATAGTCAATAGCTTGGCGATGGGTTTACTTACTCCGCATGGTAAAATTTAGATTTGATTAGAATAATTAACACTTACCTGAAAAGAAAAAAAAAAAAAAATGGAATTTAAATATTAATGAAAGTGAAATGAAATAAACTTTCTTAAAGGAAAGGAAATTTTAAGTAATATTTTTTATATAGAAATATTTTCTCTATTTGGAGACTATTTTCTATAGAAAATGTGTCTCTATTAAGATACTATTTTTAACAGACAATTTGTCTCAATTTAGAGACTATTTTTTTATAGAAAACTTGTCTCCATTTTGACACTATTTTCTATGAAAAACATGTCTCAATTAGGAGAATATTTTCTATAGAAAATTTGCCTCCATTTGAAGACTATTTTCTAGAAATTTTGTTTTGAAATTTTCTATAGAAAATGTGTCTCCATTTGGACACTATTATTCTATAGATTTAGAGACTATTTTCTATAAAATATTTCTCTCCATTTAGACACTATTATTCTATAGATTTAGAGACTACTTTCTATAGAAAATTTTTCTCCATTGGGACACTATTTTCTGTAGAATATTTGTCCCCATTTGAACACTATTTTCTCTAGAAAATTTGTCTCCTTTTGGACACTATTTTCTATAGAAAATTCGTGTCCATTTGAACACTACTTTCTATAGAAAAGTTGTGTCCATTTGGACACTATTATCTATAGAGAATTTGTCTCCATTTGGACACTAAAGTGTGTCTTTATTAGGAGACTATTTTCAATAGAAAATTTGACTCGATTTGGACACTATTTTCTATAGAAAAGTTATCTTCATTTAGATGCTATTTTCTATAGAAAATTTTCTCTGTTTAGAGACTATTTTCTATTTAAAATTTGATCTATAGAAAAGTTGTCTCCATTTGGACACTATTATCTATAGAGAATTTGTCTCCATTTGGACACTAAAGTGTGTCTTTATTAGGAGACTATTTTCAATAGAAAATTTGACTCGATTTGGACACTATTTTCTATAGAAAAGTTATCTTCATTTAGATGCTATTTTCTATAGAAAATTTTCTCTGTTTAGAGACTATTTTCTATTTAAAATTTGAGACTTTTTCTCTCTATTTAGAGACTATATTCTATAGAAGATTTGTGTCTATTAAGAGACTTCTATAGAAAATGTTTCTCTATATTTTCTATATAAATTTGTCTATATTTAGAGACTATTTTCTATATCAAATTTGTCTCCATTTAGATACTATTTTCAAACAAAAAATTTGTATTTATTGAGAGACTATTTTCTGTAGAAAATTTGTCTCTATTTAGAGACTATTTTCTTTAGAAAATTTGTCTGTATTTAGAGACTACTTTCTGTAGAAAATTTTGTCTCTATTTAGAGACTATTTTCTGTAGAAATTGTGTCTCTATGTAGAAACTATTTTCTGTAGAAAATTTGTTTCTCTATTTAGATGCTATTTTCTAAAGAAAATAGTGTCTTTATTTGGATACTATTTTCTTTAGAAAAGTGTCTCCATTTGGCACTATTTTCTATAGAAAAGTTGTCTCGATTTGGACACTATTTTCTATAGAAAAGTTGCCTCCATATGGACACTATTTTCTATAGAAAATTGTCTCCATTTGGACACTATTTTCCATAGAAAATTTATCTCCATTTGGACACTAGTTTCTATAGAAAATTTATTTGCATTTGAACACTATTTTCTATAGAAAATTTGTCTCCAGTATGAGACTATTTTGTATAGAAAATTCGTCTCTATTTGTAGACTGTTTTCTATGGAAAATTAGTCTTTATTTGAAGACTATTTTCTGTGAAAAATTGGTATCCATTTGGAGACTATTTTCAGTAGAAAATTAGTGTCCAATTGGAGACTATCGATTCAGAAAGATTAAGAATTTCACAAGAGCCCCAAATGTACGACCAATACTTTAATGATTTATTGAATTTTTTGTTGTTGTGACCATAAATACGACAGAAAACATGTCTACATATTTATTTTGTCCACAAAAATCTTACGTTTAAAGATCAAGTGAAAATTTGTAAAAATAATTAAAGTAAAAATTATTCTTAATCCTTATTTAAGGCCACACAAGCGATCACCTCACAAAATGCTCAGTCATTCATTCAACAAATCCATTTCAACAATAACATTTCAAAACAAAGGCCTTTTAAAATGATCAAGCAGTAACATGAACAAATATTCTATTCATTCTATCTTCAAAATTTTAACGCCATTGTGTAAAATATACCCATAATTTGTTTAAATTTGCTAAACAATACTTTAAATTAACAAAAAACGATAAGGAGAAAAAAATTCCTATAATAAAATAGTCAACATAACATAGACCTCTAGAGATGAGTTTCCAAATGAAATAAACATGATTAAAACTATTAAAATATTTTTGTGTTCAAATTCATTTAAAAACTAAAGAGGCCAACAGATACCAAATATTTATTGCAAGTATTTCGCACACAGCAGGAGACCGCACTTATCTACTACTGTTAAGAACGTAGAGAGCAACTTTAAAAGATTAAAGTAGAAATGAAAATAAAAATTGCAGTCTTTTTAAGAGACAAAAAAAAAAAAAAGATGGTCGGTAACTTTTCATTCTCAAATTGCAGCAAGTGTGACCATGACGAATTGCGTGTATGTTTAACAGACGGAAGGACAACCAGACGTTAGTACTAAGAGATAAAAGTACTTTTAAGCCAGCTGTTTTTGTTGCTGTTGTTGTTCATTTTCAGTTTAAATTCTACAACACCTTTACATTGTAGTTTTCTTTTTATTAAATGTTTAAGATAAAAATCTCTATAAAGTGTCCTTTTACTGGTAATCTTCTCCTGTGACATTTCAAAAATATGTATAGTTTTTATTGTGGAAATTTTATTATTTTTTTTTTGCAATTTAATAAAAAAAAATTCATTCTTTTGTTTAGTTTTTTATATCTTTTTTAAAGATATTGTGGTGTAGTTGTTAAAATTTCTGTGTTATTTCAAGTGTGACCCAAGTACTTTGACCGCATTTAGTGCTTAAATTCTTAAGTACATTAAAAAATTTTTTAAGTGTTTTTTTGTTTTATATGTTTAGAAGTACTATTTTCATTAAATATTAGTTATTTAAGTATGACAAACATTTTTATAGTTTTAAACCGACAAACAATATTTTTAAGGAATTGTAATCCTTTTGAAATAGGAGGCTGGCATTTTCTACTGTGACAATAAAATTTTCTACTTAAATACTTAATCAGTACTATGATAATTATTATGTTTGTGAGATTCTTATGTTTGTGTGAGAGAGTCTAATAAATGAACGAAAAAGTACCAAAATGTCCCCATTTATAGATTTTCATTTCAAGGTTTAATATTAAAAAGAAATCAAAGTTTACCAGTTAAGGAATAAAAAGGTGTCCAAGACTTTCCTATCAGGATCCTATGTTTCCAGATTCAATATTGTAGAAAATCAAAAAGTACCATTTTAATGACAAAAAAAGTACCAGAATATCTGATTTTATAGATTTTTATATAATCAAGAAGCTGCATGATTCTAGGTTCAATAAAAAGTACCAAAAAGTTCACTCATTTACAAAAAAAGTACCAGAATGTCTGATTTTATAGATTTTTATACAATCAAGAAGCTGCATGATTCTAGGTTCAACAAAAAGTACCAAAAAGTACACTCAATTACTTAAGAGTCTGCATATTTAATTTCATGTTCCAAGGTACAATATTACAGAAAACTGAAAAGGTACTATATAGTTCAAAAATTAAAAAAGTACCATTACTCCCCACAGAATTCTCTTCGCTCAGGACTCTGAATGTTTCATTTTATGTTTTAACGTTCAATTTTAAAGAAAACTCAAAAAAGTACCACTTGCATAACAAAAAAAGTACCAAGAAGTGTATTTTTATTTTTACTCAGGACTTCATGTTTCAAAGTTCAAGAGATTTTAGAGATTCTCATTTACTACGGTCACTACATGCTCAATTTCATGTTTCTAGGTTCTATATTATAGAAAACTTAAAAAGTCCCAATTGATGAACGAAAAAAGTACCAAAAAATTCAATATTATAGAAAACTCAAAAGTCCCAGTTGAAGAACGAAAAAAGTACCAAAAATAGACCTGTATAACGGAGTTCCAAATTACATCCCATTAACATATTTAGTATTACTAAAACTACCAATCTTTCAATGAGTTTGAATATTTTGGTATTTTTTTAATAAACATTTTATTCCAAAAAGTTGCAATATTGTAGTGTGAGACCATTTATACTTGTCTACGTGATAAAATAGGAAATAATGTTTTATTAAAAAAGTACCAAAAATAGGTACAATTTTAAAACCATTAACGTCCGAAAATCCAAAAAGTACTAGGTTTGAGATTACCGAATTTACCAGTTTTTATCCCTTTTTATATAAACATTCGGTATTTGATGGATTTATTTGGCATGATACCAATCTTCTGGCTGTGGGGCGATAACACAGAACGACAAATTTTTCCCCATCACATCTGGGATTCGAGATATTGTGTCCTGAAGTTTGAAAAAACGTCTATTTTGGTCCTTTTTGAGATGTTCAAACAGCGGCAAGACAACCTTATTAAAATGAAGCTTTAAAATGAAGGCTTAACAACTGACATATCTTCTTCGAGTCAATCCATCATTAACCCAGAGTCCAAAGTATACTTTTCTAAAGGATTGAGCTGTGCTGAAAGAGAATCGGGCTGAATCCAAATTTGGTATACGAGATATCGTGTCCTAAAGTTTGATTTTGAGGCGCTAAAACAGCGCCAAGACAACCTTATTTATAAAATGTTGTATTCTATCTAAAAGTCTCTTCTGTCAGCTATAAAGTGAAGTCCGAACATCTGACATATCTCCTTTCTTCTTCGAGATATCTTCGAGTCAGTCCGTCATTGACCCAGAGATCAAAGTATACTTTTCTAAAGGATTGAGCTGTGCTGAAAGTGAATCGGTCTGAATCCAAATTTCCCCATCACATCTGGGATTTGACAACCTTATTTATAAAATGTTGTATTCTATCTAAAAGTCGCTTCTGTCAGCTATAAAATGAAGT